AGACACAGCCAAGTGGTACTGCTTTTAATATCTCAGAGTTAGCTGTAGGGATCCAATTATTTTCAGTTTGGATACATTTCCCCTTTATCAATATCTCCATGTGCATAAATAAGATGAAAGTAGAGTTCCAGAATCAAAGAGAGACGGAACTCACATCACTGGGCAGACTTGTTCCATCTGGAAGTGTACGGCCAGTCTCTCCCACGCAGATTTCTGATGTCTGGCCCCAAATCTTCCTATCGAAGGCGACATCTTTTTATAGGTTAAAGACGAGAAGGGAGTTTAGGCACGGAGGTGAACTTACAAATAACGGGGGGAAGAAAAAGAGAAAGGATGCTAAAAAAGGGAAAAGAACACGTACTAAATCAGCAAACTCGGTTCCCTTCCAAGTGGCATCAAAGAGGTAATGGGTGATTTCAGTTGCGCTTAGAGCTCCTCTCATGGGCTCTTTCAGGGAATTGAAAACACTGTTCTCCACTTCCAGGTTCCTTTGATTTCCTGGCCCAAATCAGCAGGCTCCCAAACCCCCGTGTAAACAGGCTACCTGCACTGAAATGCAAATAGCAGCGAGTCCCTGCAGGGCCTTGGGGGCCAAATGCTTTGACACCGGGACGCAGAGATGGGAGACGCAGCTTCTTGCAGAATGAGGCTTCTGCCAAGAGGAATGAGGCACCAGAGGGCTCTGCTCCGTCTTGCTAGGAAATCACTTGCACTGCAGCCAATCCCAAATGTTTTTAAGTGCAATGGGGACAACAACAAAGAACAACGGGCCAGGGCGCTGCCGTGCAGCCCCGGAAACACTGCTGTGCCAGGGAGAGAGGATGAGAGGATGGAGAGAGGGAGAGAGGATGTGCGTGGACGGGTTTACTGAGACGGCTTTGCTGGTGCTGCAAACGTCAAAGCCCCAGTTTCACTCACATGAGGAATTCCAAGGCCCCGAAGGAGCAAGAGCACCTGACATGTGTTCCATGATGACGAGTTCCCGCTTTCACTCAGTTACTCATTCAATCATTCATTCATGCAGGAGACATTCGCTCCACTGCTTCAACATCTTCACCTCTGAGCTTATTACTCTTGCCTTTGAAAGGCTCACCAAGGAGCTTGGCAACTTCTCCCTACAGTAACACCATGTGCCTCTAACACTGGAACCCAGAGCCCTGCCTGGCTGGTAGCCCCCGGCCCTGCTGCTCAATGCCCTACAACACACTATGCTATGGTACCACACAAATACACAAGCCAGGTGTTATAAGTCCTGTCCTACACACAGCTGACTGCTCCCTTCTTAAACCCCTAAAACCTAGTTAGTTCTGTCCACTGTTACTACGTCACCACCACTTCAACATCCCCACTTAAAATCAGTATTTTAAGTGTGTGCTTAAATGGTATCAATAGCAATTAGAGAGGGGAATTCTGATTCTACCCCAGATGTAGTTAATTGTTGTAGCATTGATCTGTTCTCTAACGCGCTTCTTTCTCCAAATTAAACCCCCATTACAGAGGGGGACGAAGGGCGTCCTCTCCCCTCCTGTGACAATAAATTTAATATCGAATGCACTGGGAAAAAATGGCAGTTGTTGCAGAATCCATCCAAAAAGATTTTTTTTTCTTCCTGGGAGTAATTAAAAGATGCTTTTCTTGACTAATGATTCCCCCGTTTAGGAATGGGAAGTCAATACTGCTTCAGCCGTCAGCTTCGATTGATCATGATGCTGCTCAAGTTTGAACGGCAGTTCTCAGGGCGGCAGAGATTCACCAGAACCAATTATAAGCCGTCCGAAGCTGCCCTAATCAGGGGTGCAGGGACACGGCAGAGGCCGGCTGTCCAGGGCGCCTGCTGTCCTAACTGGCCGCACAAATAGGTGACTCCAGTGTGTGGCAGTCTCTTTGGGGGAAGATCTGCTGTGTTCTACTTCCCCATGGTCTTGAATTTTGTGTGTGTGTGTGTGTGTGTGTGTGTGTGTGTGTTTGGGGGTGGGGGCAGGCGGAATGACGCATTTCTAATTATATTCCACTGTCAGAATGAATCTTCTGCACAAGATGGAATGGACCAGAGCTCCTCGGGAAAACAGCTGAGCCCTTTTTCAAAGAATTACACCGAATATATTGCACTTGGCTTTTCCTTCGATACAGATAAAAATTTATTAAAATATTTCTTTTTGGTATTACCTCAGGGCCACATTAAAAGAACCTTCCAGCTGTTTCTCCTAACAATCACAGGTTCTGCAGAGACCAGGAGGAGTGGAGGGAGCGGGGAGGGGGGAGCGGGGGTGGCTTCGAAAGGCAGAATCTTCTCACGTCATGGACAGAACTGCATGCGGAGATTCCAGCCCCTGCTGTCACTTTCCCATTTTCTATTGAGGAGGTGGTGAAGGTGGTGGGAGTCTGAATTTCTACTCTGTTATTGGGCTGGGTGTGTTTTGCTTTGGACAGTGTAGTTAAGGCTTCCCGCATGTTCCACCAGGACCCCGGCCTTCCAGCTGGAAGGGACATAGACCTTGCTGGCTGCCTTTAGTCCTCTTGGGAACAGGTGGGACAGACAGAACCCATGAAGAGACAAACCCCTCCCCTCTCCCCTGCCCCCAGGGTTGCTTTTAAAGTGCCTGGCTCAGAGGCCCTTCCTGCTTCTGCTCTTTGGGCCTCCCCCATCCCCGCTCCTCCTCATTCATGGGAGGCTGCCATCCACGGTGCTGGACTCACCGACATGCACACCTCCCCACGGGCCAAGCCCGCACCCGCCGAGGCCACTCCCATCCTCCAACCAGCCTTCCCACCTGGTCCCCTGGCTGCGGCCACGGGAATCACTCCCTATTCCAGCTCAGATGCCATCTCTCCAGTGACACTTCCCAGAACGCACCTACTGCCAGCACTCTCCTGAGCCCTGGCATCCTCAGGCGGCCCTGAGAACCTTCACCAATCACCAGGGAACTGCAATCATCACTTACTGTTTCTTTTCTACCAGAAAGTGCTCAATGATTATTTGCTGATTTTCACTGAAAACAAAACTCCCCAGGAAAACTACCACAGGCACAAAGAAACATTCAATTCTTGTATGTGTTTATCTTCTTGGGTGCGAAGGGAATTTGGAAATTCCACAGTTACCTTCAGCAACAGCAGGGAACCACATCACCAACACCACAGTCTCGGAGAGGAGTTACAACTCAGCACTGCTCTTTAGGAAAGCTATGGTGACTGAAGAAAAGATGGGACTGACCCGCAACCACTGCACTTGTGAGAAAGCAAGTCTCGGCAATAGGTCTCTAAAATACAATGATGTGATGTATGTAACACTGGAAAAAAGACTGGGCTCTACACTCAAGAACTTAATTCAAGGATGCAAATTAGAACTATGAAATACCTGTGCACACACAATCTTCCTTTATAAATGAAGATGAAATTATAAAATATTTATCAGGTAAAACATGAACCCATATATTTGCTTCTAATAATTCTAAATTGTTTCTAAATTGTAATGGATGGATAAACAAACTTTTCTAATAATTCAGGGTATTAAAAATAGTGAATGTGCTTCTTTTACATATAAAGAGTAAGATGCATCGTTTTTTCCAACTTATTTCAATGTTTTCTGCAGTCATACATTCAGCTCAATCTAATTTCCAATCATTTTTCATTTTCAGACCCAGGTTTCCTCCAATGTTATTATCTTTTAAAAAATAGGTATTAAAACATGAATTCATGTTTTAAGCATGTCCACAGTTGATGACCCAGCCGATTTCTATGGTAGTGTTAAATTGAGAAAAATAATTTTTAAAGTCCACAATTTCTTCAGTTTGTAAGAAACTTACCCCTGTTTACACTATAGAGCATAACTCATAAAGTGCTCATGTATCAAAACCATGCAATTTTAAACAAATACGTTCTTTGCACCTTTCCTGTCCTCCCCACTACCACAGAATCCCTCATACGGAGAGCAAGATGAGTAACACACCAGCTTCATTCTCTCCAGTGAGCCAAAGGTGGCACCACAAATTCATTTTTCAGTGTTAATGAACTGAAGTCCACCAGCCCTTCTCACGTTCTTACTGCTCTGCAGTAGAAACCGGTTTCTGTGGCTGAACCACAGATTACCACTTGAACTTTCATTGTATCTGATCAGCAGCAAAACAAATCAGAGGAACCTAAAAAGTACCAGCGATGGGAGACCTCTCCTCTCCCTTCATCTCTTCAGACACCTGAGAGGCAAACACTGACAGCAAACCTCAAACCCCTACTTCCTATTGTGGGGGGAAAAACACAGCACCTGGGCAACCCTGGAAGCCACTTGCTTTAGACAAGCACGGAGATGAAATGCTCTATTCTGCCTCCACGCCATACGCCTTCTCGGAAGACATGCCATTTTATCACCTCTTAGGAACATTAAATATGTATGTGTACTCAAAAACGGTTTATAATAGCTGTAAATGAAAAATGAGAAACTAAACGGCCTCAAAATAAATGCGTTTTTTACACTGTTTAACAATTAACATTAATGAGGAGTTACACCATACATTATGCTGAACTTGGTTGACTAAATGTGTTAGAGATATATTTTAGAAAATAAAATATATTTTGTTACCATAAAAATAACTTTTGTGTGATGGTGGCGGGGGGGAGTGACAGACCAGATGCTTATCAAAGCTATAAGAATAACAAAATTAAAGGATCAAAAATTCATAATTAGTGTCAACGGCACAGCTTATGCCTATTAGAAATGTATTAATTAAAGTAATATATTCATAAGGTTAGAAGCTTAATACATTTCTAAGAGGGGGAGAGAAATCCCCAAGGCCTAAAAACAAACATAAAAAATTAAGGAGTGTGAATTATCCACGTCTGCTTAAGACCAATTTTAAACACCGACATTCCTATGCCGGATGAATCAGAACTCCTGAACTCCTACAGGTTATCAGGACCATCCCAACTGTGGCTGTCATTACGATCACTTCCAGTTGCCTAACTGTTGGCAAAGGTGTCGGGAGCCAGGCATCTTCCAAAGTTCCTACCTTGTGGAGTCTACTGAGGGTTTCGTCCGCCCCTGGCTGCTCTCCTCCCAGACGCTGTTGGCTAGCTCGTTCCCGATGGACGACATCACCTTGATGAGCTCGATTGGCCAGTCATCCAGGTCCAGAGATCGGACTCGGGAAAGGTGGGTGCCAAGATTCCGGTGGATCCCTGAGCACTCGATGCACATGAGGGCTCCCAAGTTCAAACTGGCCCAGTTAGGATCTATGGGAAGAGGAACAGAATGCTAAATGCAATCAGACCATCATCTCTCATTCCAACTGTCCTTAGAAATACAAGGCCACGAATCAGTCAAACTTCGCGTTGACAGGCTCTTCCTAGAACCACATCCATGGCTAGAAGAAATGCTCCCTAGCCAGTGCTCAGTCCTGTTTGAGGTGTCCCAAACGACTGGCAGTTGGTAGTAGCTTTAGAACACATTTGGCTGAAGCCAAAGCCTTGGAATTTCCCACACAATAAATAATTGACAGCGTTGGTTTGGATAGAAAAGATGCACTTTCCCATACGTCACAGCAGCTTTCACCTTGAGAGGGCTGACCTGTACGGGAAAAAAACACGTGTGACTCGGCATCCACTGGGGACAGCTGCTGCCGAGGAGAAGTGCTGAGGGGCAGCTGGGTGACACCGTGACTCTGGTCATTCCCTTATTGCTACCTCTGCAGCCACTGGCACATCAAAGTTTCCAGGAGGTACACAACGGGCATGCTTGCAAATTTCAAAGATGAGAGAGAGGTACACTACAGTGAAAAAATATCGTTTTCAGTGATCTTATTTAACTATAGCTACTGAAGCAGCTGCACCGTGGGCAAGGCCCTTTGGTGGGGTTATCACGCAGCGCAACCAACGCTGACTTGCAGAATGAATGGTGACAGGCTTTGGGCTGTGAAACTAGACCAAGGACTAGTGTAAGGATTGTGCAGGACAAGAAATGGGTTCAGACAGCAGCACTGGGACCCCGGAACTGGAGCATTCACTGCGTGAAACTGGCTGGCATCATCAAAAGACCAAGAACTCAGGCCCAGGTTGACTTCATGCTAGAATCTACAGCTGATGTGCCGAGATGGGGTTGACCTTGAGAGTCAATGGCTTTCACCGCTGTAAGTAGACACGGCTTACTCACCTGGGAACAGGCAATGTTTACTCCGGGCACACTTGAATAGTCAACAAAAGACCAAGTAGCTCAGGTCACATTTGACTCACTGGGGAGACATCTTTTGTTTTATAAATGTCAAGTGACCAGCAATAGCGTTACGCCAGTTGATCAGAAATCAGAAAACCAGTCCTTTATTTAACATCTACTGCACGTGCAAGAAGGCAGTGATAGATACCACAAGAAATGTGAGAAGACGCTGGGTGCGGTGGCTCATGCCTGTAATCCCAGCACTTTGGGAGGCCGAGATGGG